AGAGAAAAGGGCAGATGCAAAGGCTCCAAAGTATGGTAGTGGCGGGTGGATTGGAAGTGTTCACTATGGGTTATCGGTAAATAGCCATACATATATTGTAGATAATTTCTACGAAAGATGAATTCTGATGAAAATGTAGTCACAGGTGGCCTAATTCTTGCAAAATGATAAGAGCCTGAATTTATTGATTTTTTAAAAATAATTTTATTTCACATTTCTTTATTTATTTATTTGACTAGAGAGAGACAGAGTGTGTAAGAGGAAAGAAAGTGAGAAAGCAACCACCAGGTCCAGGACTCAAACTGACATCAGCCATGTGGGAGTCCAATGCCCTCAACCACCATGCCACCTGCCGGCCCCAAGAGCCTGAATTTAGGTAGAACCAATGGGAATACAAGGGCTGTGGGCAGTGAAAACACTTGAAAATAAAACTGAAAAGATTTTGGAAATTAGTTGAATTATAGGAATGGAGACTAAAAAGCAATCCTAGATAACTAAGGTTTCTGCTAAAAAGATACAAAGTAGGAATCCATTTTGACTTGTTAAGTTTGAATCTTTTCACAGTGTGGACTATATTCTTTGACTCAGGATAAAGCTTCTTAATTTAGATTTCAAATGGTTAATTACTTAAAGGTTATCTTTTTAACCCATAGGAAGATGATGCTAAATCACTAGAAACTGTTGAAAAGCAAAAAGTGAAAAGAATGAGGACTGAAAAGGCAAAACAAGCAAGCAAGTATGACTTTCTTTTGTAATTTTTACCTACTGACTTCTCAGAATTAGATTCAAGAAGAGTCTAATTTAAAAAGGGGAGTTAGGGACCAGCAGATAGTGTGGTGGTTACATTGCTAGCCATGGTTCAAGTCCTGGAACCCAGAGACTTAAAACTCACGCGGGGCATGTATGTGTGTGCCCAAGATCCTGAGAGGAGAGTGGAGGAGAAGGGATTGCGGTGTGGCCATCCCCCTGGGGGTGATTTCTCGCTTTCTGCCTGTCTCCCTTAGTCTTCCAGTGAGTGCACATGCCCCAAACCAAAAATCTCTCTTATAAAAAAATTAAAAGGGAAGTTAGGCTCATTAGTAAAGAGTAATTCTTAGGACTTTTAGAAACACTAGCTTCTTAACATTGTTAGATTCACTACTGAAGGTGGATTTGTCTGTATAACATGAGAGCCTGTTTGTCCTTTCTAAAGGAGGATGGTGGGTGTTAGTTTAATACCCAGTAAATCAGTGAATTTTTCTGGGTTTGGAGTATGTGGGGAGAGAACTGTGATGATTGAATTTTTCACCTGTATAGATAGATAGAGATTAATTAAAAAATAGTAGTAAACTTTAAAATTCAGTCATTATTCACTAGTAGCAATTAGAACTGTGTTCATGAGGAAATCACTTGGGTATATTTATACCACAGTACTGTTGTGTACCCACCTAACGACATTTCAGTCAGTGACAAGTCACATACACAGCAGTGGTTCCATAAGAGTAACAGAACATCCCATACATCCTAGGTTGTAGAGGATGACCATCTAAGTTTGTATAAGTACACTCTCTGATGTCCACACAGTGACAAGATCATATGACCTATTTCTCAGAATGTATCTCCATCATTAAGTGATATGTAATTGTGCTTTGGCATGGTTGGATTTAATAGAAGTAAAAATTAGCTTTTTTTTTTTTTGGAGAGGTGTTTGTTACAGGGTGCATGCATTTGCCCAGAAAGACAGAGAGAGAGAATTAGGAAGTGAGAAATCACCCCCCAGGGGGGATGGCCACGCCACAATCCCTTCTCCATTCTCCTCTCATGATCTTGGGCATGTATGCACGCACCCGGCATGAGTTCAAGCCACCAGGCCCGGGACTCGAACCATAGTTGACTACATGGGAATTCAGCAACATAGCCATTACGCTAACTGCTGGTCCCCAAATTAGTTTATTTAAAAATTTTACATAACTCTTTAGGCCAAAAGTAATACTTTTCACATATTAATTGGCTTTGTATATATTTGCAAAATGACTTCATGTTTGTGAAACTACACAGAACGCTGACAACTAGTGTTTGAGAATTGCCTTTTCTCATAGACTCCACAGAATTTACATGAACAAAGTACTAGTACTTGGAGGTCTATGGTATTTACTAATACATAGGAAACTTTTAAAGGGAAATTCAACTGTGATCATTTTTAAACATCCAAATTAAAGAAGAAAGTCTCAAACGAAGCCTTATTAGCTTACGTGATTTAAAACTTCATTTTCAAATGTTCGGAAGCCAATTGTTGTTTATAATATGATGTTTTTTGTTTTTGTTTTTTTCAGAAACACAGAAAAAGCAAGTTCGTGGTCACCTCCTCCAGTAGAAATTAAGCTGCTTTCTCCCTTGGCAAGCCCAATTGATGATGTAAAGAGCAAACCTAGAAAAACCGCAGAAGTAACAGGAAAAGTTCTTGGAAAGGGCAGAAAGAAACTGTCTTCCTTTCCAAAGCAAATTTTACGCAGAAAAATGTTATAATTTTTTTCCAAGTTTTTAACGTACACCTATTTATAAAGTCATTGGAATTGTGTGGATTATTAAAAATCATCCTGTTAGAGAAAAGGGCAGATGCAAAGGCTCCAAAGTATGGTAGTGGCGGGTGGATTGGAAGTGTTCACTATGGGTTATCGGTAAATAGCCATACATATATTGTAGATAATTTCTACGAAAGATGAATTCTGATGAAAATGTAGTCACAGGTGGCCTAATTCTTGCAAAATGATAAGAGCCTGAATTTATTGATTTTTTAAAAATAATTTTATTTCACATTTCTTTATTTATTTATTTGACTAGAGAGAGACAGAGTGTGTAAGAGGAAAGAAAGTGAGAAAGCAACCACCAGGTCCAGGACTCAAACTGACATCAGCCATGTGGGAGTCCAATGCCCTCAACCACCATGCCACCTGCCGGCCCCAAGAGCCTGAATTTAGGTAGAACCAATGGGAATACAAGGGCTGTGGGCAGTGAAAACACTTGAAAATAAAACTGAAAAGATTTTGGAAATTAGTTGAATTATAGGAATGGAGACTAAAAAGCAATCCTAGATAACTAAGGTTTCTGCTAAAAAGATACAAAGTAGGAATCCATTTTGACTTGTTAAGTTTGAATCTTTTCACAGTGTGGACTATATTCTTTGACTCAGGATAAAGCTTCTTAATTTAGATTTCAAATGGTTAATTACTTAAAGGTTATCTTTTTAACCCATAGGAAGATGATGCTAAATCACTAGAAACTGTTGAAAAGCAAAAAGTGAAAAGAATGAGGACTGAAAAGGCAAAACAAGCAAGCAAGTATGACTTTCTTTTGTAATTTTTACCTACTGACTTCTCAGAATTAGATTCAAGAAGAGTCTAATTTAAAAAGGGGAGTTAGGGACCAGCAGATAGTGTGGTGGTTACATTGCTAGCCATGGTTCAAGTCCTGGAACCCAGAGACTTAAAACTCACGCGGGGCATGTATGTGTGTGCCCAAGATCCTGAGAGGAGAGTGGAGGAGAAGGGATTGCGGTGTGGCCATCCCCCTGGGGGTGATTTCTCGCTTTCTGCCTGTCTCCCTTAGTCTTCCAGTGAGTGCACATGCCCCAAACCAAAAATCTCTCTTATAAAAAAATTAAAAGGGAAGTTAGGCTCATTAGTAAAGAGTAATTCTTAGGACTTTTAGAAACACTAGCTTCTTAACATTGTTAGATTCACTACTGAAGGTGGATTTGTCTGTATAACATGAGAGCCTGTTTGTCCTTTCTAAAGGAGGATGGTGGGTGTTAGTTTAATACCCAGTAAATCAGTGAATTTTTCTGGGTTTGGAGTATGTGGGGAGAGAACTGTGATGATTGAATTTTTCACCTGTATAGATAGATAGAGATTAATTAAAAAATAGTAGTAAACTTTAAAATTCAGTCATTATTCACTAGTAGCAATTAGAACTGTGTTCATGAGGAAATCACTTGGGTATATTTATACCACAGTACTGTTGTGTACCCACCTAACGACATTTCAGTCAGTGACAAGTCACATACACAGCAGTGGTTCCATAAGAGTAACAGAACATCCCATACATCCTAGGTTGTAGAGGATGACCATCTAAGTTTGTATAAGTACACTCTCTGATGTCCACACAGTGACAAGATCATATGACCTATTTCTCAGAATGTATCTCCATCATTAAGTGATATGTAATTGTGCTTTGGCATGGTTGGATTTAATAGAAGTAAAAATTAGCTTTTTTTTTTTTTGGAGAGGTGTTTGTTACAGGGTGCATGCATTTGCCCAGAAAGACAGAGAGAGAGAATTAGGAAGTGAGAAATCACCCCCCAGGGGGGATGGCCACGCCACAATCCCTTCTCCATTCTCCTCTCATGATCTTGGGCATGTATGCACGCACCCGGCATGAGTTCAAGCCACCAGGCCCGGGACTCGAACCATAGTTGACTACATGGGAATTCAGCAACATAGCCATTACGCTAACTGCTGGTCCCCAAATTAGTTTATTTAAAAATTTTACATAACTCTTTAGGCCAAAAGTAATACTTTTCACATATTAATTGGCTTTGTATATATTTGCAAAATGACTTCATGTTTGTGAAACTACACAGAACGCTGACAACTAGTGTTTGAGAATTGCCTTTTCTCATAGACTCCACAGAATTTACATGAACAAAGTACTAGTACTTGGAGGTCTATGGTATTTACTAATACATAGGAAACTTTTAAAGGGAAATTCAACTGTGATCATTTTTAAACATCCAAATTAAAGAAGAAAGTCTCAAACGAAGCCTTATTAGCTTACGTGATTTAAAACTTCATTTTCAAATGTTCGGAAGCCAATTGTTGTTTATAATATGATGTTTTTTGTTTTTGTTTTTTTCAGAAACACAGAAAAAGCAAGTTCGTGGTCACCTCCTCCAGTAGAAATTAAGCTGCTTTCTCCCTTGGCAAGCCCAATTGATGATGTAAAGAGCAAACCTAGAAAAACCGCAGAAGTAACAGGAAAAGTTCTTGGAAAGGGCAGAAAGAAACTGTCTTCCTTTCCAAAGCAAATTTTACGCAGAAAAATGTTATAATTTTTTTCCAAGTTTTTAACGTACACCTATTTATAAAGTCATTGGAATTGTGTGGATTATTAAAAATCACATAATTTGGAAGAAAATAATTTATATAAATTATTGTAAATTTTTGTAAACAGAAGGTCTTTAATAAGTAAAGTAACTCCATATGGAGTGTGATTCTTTTTAGTCCAGGCAATTTTTTTCTATTTTATATTAAGACTTCATACATTTATATAATATGTAAATATGGCTTATTGCAATGTTAAATAAAGTGTATAATTCACAGTAGTTTGTGTCTGTTAGATTTTTGAGAGGGGATTCCTGTTTTTTTATATGCTAGTAGGTATTGATCCCATTTTCTTTTTCATAGTTAAAATATTAGACCAATCTTAAAATGAGGATAATTGAACTGTTGATTTTACATTGCTATTTTATAATTTATGCACTTTGATTCTGTGATTAAGATTTCTAATCATAAAATGTATTTTGTTTTTGACTGTTACTATGTTGAAATTGAACCATGGGCATGTAATTTTGCCACCTTTTTGTAGTTTGACAAATTTTAAGTAATCTACCTCAAATGAGTAATTTTCTGAGTAATTCATTGGTTAACTATAGTATTGGCATTTCTTGTTCAACAGGCTTAAAGTCTTTTTACCTTTAAAGTCTCTTAATTTTTCAGAGACGAATTATCCAGGTTAGATTGACCGGTTCACTGCTCACTAGCAACCTCATTATAGGGTTTTTGAGAAGGAAGGGAAATGTTACATAAATCTGTCTGGCTATCAGGTGCACCCTGTGTGTGCCTAATATTGATAGGATGAGAAATCTGAACACATTTATTATAATATTCTTGCTATAAAGGCACTTGCTACTGAATCACAGAAAACTTTAATATTCAGGTTTTTAAACTGGGAAACGATCACAGGACCTCAGGCACAAATTATCAAGAATGGAGAGAGTGTGAGTAGATGTGGAAAAAAGAACAAAACACCTTGTTCTCTGCAGTATGACTGTGTGCAATTAAGCAATGATACTTGATGCAGGCTATAAAGTTCATTAATAAATAAGTGTCGTAAAATAATTTATAACAGGTCATTGATAGTATGTAATGAGCGGACCATTTATAATTGATTGTCTAGAAACAGACTGCTTTTGTTGGCTAAGTTTAATGTTTTAGTGTGAAGCATAAGCAGTGTGCTTTCTACATTATTTTTTTACCAAATAATATGGATAATGAGAAAATGATGAAAATGTCTATGCCAAGTATTGACAGTGTGAAAGTCGCAGTGCGGGTGCGGCCTTTCAGTCAGGTCAGTGAGAAATGTTACAATGCCTTGTGGAAATTTAACTGACTTTGATTTTATTAATTTTTTTAATGATAGTTATCACACCTGTATTTAAGCTGCTTGTCATTTATGGGATATTAAACTTATTTAAATGAACTTGTTATATGAATAATTTAAAGATCTAAACATAATTCAGTAAACATTTAATTTCATTCCTTTGCACAAGTAGCACAATAAAAAATACCAACAAGAGAATGTACTGTCAAGTTAATAATTTTTTTTAAACCAATGCAATTTGTGAATGTAGATATGTGGTACCTATTTTTAATAAATGTACCTTTTTTCTTTATAAAAGATGATAAGAATTGCCAGTTCTAAATGAACTCTATATATTGTAAATGACTTCTATATCAGTGTGTATATATGTGCGTATGAGTGTATACATGTATGTGTGTGTGTATGTATATAGCTTTTTATAGTAACACTGCTCATTGAAATGTGTTAGTGTAACATCTTAGGATAATACACGAATTATACTCACTGCAGCAACCATGCGTCTTTGTCGGTACACTAGTTAAATTTTAAAGTAATTCTGAACTGACCCATTCAGGAAATTTTTAACTATCTACTTGGATTGAACACTGTGGTAGATACTTAGAACACAAAGGAAATTACTTGTTCTCCAACGGTTTATAATCTTATGTATTAAAATTTACTAAATAATTTCACATTAAATTGGTACTTATTATATTAGTAAGGTAATAATATACCCAGCAAAAGGTTAGGTATAATTAATTCCACTTAGAAAGATCAGAAATGCGTCCTAGATTTGGAAACATTTGAGATGATCATAAGGGATCAGTAATTTGGGTAAGAACATTCTAGACAGAACGTGCAGACGTTTTGACAGTAATTGCTCCCTGAGTGGGTACAGTAAGCATGGCCTATATAAGTGTTCTTTCCTGTGTCTACAACTTGCTTTTTCTCTTTCGTCCATCAGTACTGCTTTGCACATTTTCTGTGGTATCCGTTCTATGACCTTTACATTTATATTGTGGAAAACACTGTAGCCACCATGCAGCTATGTAATTAGGTAACTTTAGTAAAATATGTAACTAGAAATTTTATGGATAATAGCTATTTAAGGCTTCTCAAGTGGCATCATTTCTTAGATAACTGACCAAAATGTTCAGGAACATTTGTTTGACTCAAAAGAGGAAATATCAGGGACCAGCAGTTAGCGTAACGGCTATGCTGCTGGACTCCCACGTAGTCGACCACGGTTCACGTCCTGGACCCGGTGGCTTAAAACTCACGCCGGGCGCGTGTGCGTGCGCGTGCGTGCCCAAGATCCCGAGAGGAGAATGGAGGAGAAGGGATTGCGGCGTGACCATCCCCCCTGGGGGGTGATTTCTCACTTTCTGTCTCTATGTCTCTGTCTGTCTGGCGAGCGCACGCGCCCTAAAGCAAAAAACCTCTCAAAAAAAAAAAAAAAAAGGAAATATCAGGGTCAGTAGATAGTGTGGTGGTCAAGGCACTGGTTTCCTCGTGACCAATCACAGTTCAAGTCCTGGACCTGGTGGCTTGCTTTCTCTCTTTCTCTTCTCTTTCTCTCTCTCTCTCTCTCATGCCCTATAGCAAATTAATAATACAAATAGTTTTTAAAAATCATTTCCTGTATATATGGCATGAGGTAAGAGTTCAATTTCATTCTTTTACATGTGGCTGTTCAGATCTGTCAGCACCATTTCTCTCTCACAAATTGAAAAATAATATTTTTTTTAATGGAATTTGGGGGCTAGCATTACGACTTGGTGAAGGGATCCAGATTTCACATGGCAACCACATGGTTTGAGTCCTGGACCTGACCATCTTGAAAAGTGCCAAGCACATGTTTGTGTATGCCCAAATCCCAGCAGGGCAGACAGCTGGAGAGGTATTGCGGTGGGACCATATCCCATTTTTTGCGGGGGGGGGTCCTCCCTCTTTCTGGCAAGCAAACACCTGCTGGCAATTTTTTTTTTTTTTTTAAAGAGATTCTTGCTATAGGGTGCATGCACTTTCACCAGAGAGACAGAAAGTGAGAAATCACTCCCCACTCCCCCAGAGGGAATAGCCATACCACAATCCCTTCTGTTTCCTGTTCTCTCAAGATTTGGGGCACGCACACCCTCACCTGGCGTGGATTTTAAGCTGCCAGGTCTGGGACTCAATGGTCTACTACAGGGGAGTCCAGTGATGTAACCATTATGCCATTTGCTGGTCTCGGCAAATCATTTTTTTTAATGGAATTTTGGGTCAGCCTTGTAGCCTAGTGGTTAAGGGAGCCAGGTAACATATGGCTGATTACAGTTCCAATTCCAGAGCCAATGGCTTGAAAAACATGCCCAGTGTTATGTGCATGCATGTCCCAAATCCTGGCAGGATGAGAAGGCATTGCGTGTGGCCACATCTCACTGAGGTGCTCTTCACTACCCTTTGATAGCCTTGGAGAGCACACACAAAATTTTTAATGGAAAAATTTTAAAGAATATTTAAAATTTGCTATAAGGCACATGCACTCACGGTGGGGGGGGGGGAGGAGAGCAAGCAAGCCACCAGGTCTGGGGTTTGGACCTCAGTTGGCCATGTGGGAGTCCAGTGCCCCAATCACCATCCACCTGCTGGCCCTTTAGTGGAAAGTTTGGTGTTTTTGTTTTCCGTGATTTTTTTGCCACCTGCCAGGGGGATGGCCATGCCACAATCCCTTCGTCACTTTCCTCCCGGCATTCTGCACATGCATGCACACTCACCCAGAGTGAGTCTTAACTGCAATACTGCCCCCACGGAAATTTTAATTCCATTTTTATGTTGTTTGAAATGTTGAGACAGTTGATTTTTGTACACTGGTTGTATATCTAGCATCTTTACTAAACTCAGTTATTACTCATAATAGTTCTTTTAGTGGATGCTCCAAGCTACAAATGACAGTTTTACTTTTTGCTTTCCCATCTGGATACCTTTTACTTATTTTTTTTTAAACCAAGTTGTGCTATCTAGAACCTCCAATACAGGAAGTTCTTTTCTTCTTGTTCGTGATGTTAGGGGGACATTCAGTTGACCACTTTGTGTAAGATTAGCTGTGGGGATTAGCAGGTGGCATCGTGGTTAAGGCACTGGACACTCCCACATGGACAATCACATTTCGAGTCCTAGACCAGGTGACCTGCTTTCTCACTTTCCCTCTCTCTGTCTCTTTGGTCAAATTAAAATGAATGAATGAATAAGTAAAATTGAAAAAAGACCTATCTTTATTTAAAAAAAAAAAAGATTACCTGGATTTTTCATTAATGCTCTATTTTAGAAGATTGAGGAGGGGGGACCAGCAGTTAGCATAATGGCTATGTCACTGGACTACCATGTATTCAACCATGGTTCGAGTCCCAGATCCCGTGGCTTAAAACTCAGGCTGGGTGCGTGTGCATGTGTGCCCAAGATCCTGAGAAGAGAATGGAGAAAGGATTGCAGCGTGGCCATCCCCCCTGGGGGTGATTTCTCGCTTTCTCTCGCTCCTGGCCAGCGCGTGCGCCCTATAGCAAAAACCTCCCCCCCAAAAAAATAAAAAAATAAAAATAAAAAACCAGATTGAAGAAATCCTATTCTTAGTTGAGTATTTTTGTGTTGCATTTTGTCTAATGCATTTTCTGCGCCTATTTTGATGAGATGGGATTGCGTTTTATTTTTCTGATATCATGTATTACAGTAGATCATTATTTTAAAATGTATTCCGGACTTTTGGATCAGGATGGTAAGGTAACAGTAGCCTTGCGTTCCCAGGAGAAGGGGACACACCACATCATGCACGCCCTTAGGTTGAACCAAACTTGTGTCTTTCAGGTAAATCCCACTTGGTCAAGGTATATAATTCTTTTTACATATTACTGGATTCAGTTTGATAGTTGAGGATTTTTACATCCGTATTCATAAGTGATGTAGTTTTTTTTTATTGTGATGTCTTTATCTGTATTTAGTATCAGTAATATTTAATAAGTTGGGGAGTGTTCTGATTATTTTAGGAGAATTTGTGAATTTTTTTTTTTTAATTTGCACTATTAAGAGAGAAACTGAGAACCTCCCGCCCCTATAGGGTAAAGCCACACCACAATTTCTTCCCCATTTCTCCCTCTTTTCGGGATTTGGGGCACACATCTTGCGACCTGGGGCACACGTCTGGCTTGTTTTTCAGGCCACCGGGCCCAGGACTCGAAGCATGTGGGATCTAGCCACCTTCATCACCACACCACTGGCTGGCCCCGTATTAATTTTTCTTTAAATGTTTGGTAGGATTTGGTGATCAAGTCATCTAGGCTTGGCCTTTTTATTGATTAATTTCAAAATCACCCTAAACAAGGTCTTCGCACTATGATCTTCCCCCACCCAGCACATCAGGGGCATAGACCCGAGTGTGCAGAGAGGAATCAGGAGTTGGGTCCTAGATCCTCCCATGTGGGGCCAGATCACAGGCTGCACTATTGTCTGACCCCAAAGGGTGGTGTAGTTTGGTTTTCATTTTACATGTATTACTACTGGATGACCATCCCTAACCTGAAGGTTCAAAATCTGAAATACTCCAAACCCATAACTTGGAGTACAGCATGACATCACAAATGAAAATTCCATACCTAGTCTCATATAGCAGTTTGCAGTCAAAATTTAGGTACACAATACAATTTATTTAGTGCCCCCAAAGAAAGAGATCTTCCCAACCCCCTTTAGCTACAATATATTCTTTCTGAGATTCAATGGACACAAACTTTGTTTCATGCACAAAATTGTTAAAAATATTGTGTAAAGTTACCTCAGGCTATATGAATAAGGTATCTATGAAACAAATGAATTTTGTGTTTAGCCTGGAGTCCTATCCCCAAGATACCATTACACATATGAAAATATTCCAAAATCTGAAAAAATTTCAAAAGACTTCTGGTTCCAGGCATTTGGAATAAGGGATACTCAACGTGTACTCAAATCTCTATTCTTGGGACCAGCAGAGGGCATAATGACTATATCGCTGGACTCTGGTGCAGTCAGCCTTGGTTCCAGTCCCAGACCTGGCGGCTTAATACTCATACCGAGTGTGTGTGTGTTTGTGTGTGCCCAAAGTCCCAAGAGGAGAATAGAGAAGGGACTGTGGCATGGCCATCTCCCAGGGGGCGATTTCTTGCTTTCTGTCTCTCTGGCAAACACATGCACCCTATAGCAAAAATCTTTTTAAAAAAAAAAAATCTCTATTCTTGTGGAGCCAGTGGATGTCGTGGTGGTTCAGGTGCTGGACCTCCCATATAGCCAATCAAGGTTTGAGTCCTAGACCTGGTGGCTTGTTTTCTCACTGTCCTTCTCTCTCTTTGTCTCTTCCTGGTGAATTAAAAAATAGTAATAAATAAAATTAAGTTATTTAAGAAGAAAAAAATCTTGTATAGGTCTTTTGAAATTACTATTTCCTCCTGAGTCTGTTTTCAGTAATTTCTGTCTTTCTAGGATTTTTTTCACTTCACATAAATTACCTTATTTGTTGGAGCTCAATTGTTCATCATATTCCTTTACAATTTTGCCTTTTTTTTAAACAAAAGTTTTTGTTGGGGGGCATATGTACTTGCTAGAGAGAGAGACAAAGAAAAAGTGAGAACTCAAGCCCCTAATGGGGGATGGCTATGCCACAATCCCTTCTCCAATCTCCAGGAATTTTGGGCACACATACACACATGCCTGTTGTGATTTTCAAACTGCCAGATCCGGGACTTGAACCACATACTTGGGCATGTGGGATCCAGCTCCTTTAACCACCATGCCACCTGCTAGCCCCATCTTTTACTGTATTTTTTTAAGAGGTTTTTGCTATAGGGCACTTGCACTCGCCAGAAAGAGAGAAACAGAGACAGAAAGCGAGAAATCACCCCCCAGGGGAATGGACACCCAGCAGTCCCTTCTCCATTCCCCTCTCGGGATCTTGGGCATGCACACACACATGCCTGGTGTGAGTTTAAGCCACCAGGTCCGGGACTTGAACCGCGGTCGACTACATGGGAGTCTAGCAACATAGATAACCATTATGCCAACTACAGGTCCCCCATCTTTTACTTTTTTAATCATTATTTCCTTCAGTGTTATAAATAAATCTCTAACAACTATTTTACAGTCTTTTCTGATAAATCCTGCATTTATTGTTGCTCATTATGTGTATGGCTCATACTTTCCTGTCTCTTTACATACCTCATAATTTATATCAGATACTAGATATCTTAGCTTTATGTCGTAGCAGCTCTTGAGTACCAGTCCTCTCTCCTCTGCACCTTATTGTTTTCATTTGCTTACTCGTTTAGTGAATGGCTGGATTATTTTATTGTTTTAAGGCTTTTGCCATAGGGTATGTGCGCTTACCAGACAGAGGAGGAAAGTGAGAAATCAGCTCCTGCTGGGGCGGTGACCATGCTCCAGTCCCTTTTCTGCTCAACGCTCCTGAGATTTGGGCACCCAGCATGAGTTTCAACTGCCAGGTCTGGGACTTGATCCACAGTCAGCCACGTGGGAGTCTGCCCTGCCACCTGCTCGCCCCCTGGCTGAATTAATGACATCCACTCCCCTACCCCACTGTTGGAGTGGAGGACAAAACAGGCATTCCCCTGCACCCTGGGGTAACAGTGGTTTGAGGTTGACTCTCCCTCAGTTTCCTTGACCATTCCCAGCTGTTAAACTTGTTCACTAGCTCATTACTTCATTGTTTGCAGCAACGCCTGGGGCGTAAATAGCTTTGTAAACTAGTCCAGTGTATTCTGCTTCCTTTGAAAGAATATCTTCTGAGATCAGTGGTATTTTTCCTGATCCCGGAAGTATCTTTCTGCCATCTTTTTCCCCAGTTGTCTGCAAATTAGCGGACACTGTCTCACCTCTCTCTCTCTTGCCACTTGTCTTTCATCACACCTCCTCTGTTCTTGTTGCAAATAAAGTCAGTTCCTTTGGGAAGAGATGTTAGCACCATGGATTTCAGTCCTGTTTATTGTCCCAGATAAAATCTCTAAAGCAAGATTCTAGGGTTGGGTGTGTGTGGACAATGGCAAGCTGCTCTCAGAGACAGCCCTGTTTCGGGAACTGAGATGGGCAGAGGTGATGAGTAACCTGAGGCCCTCTCAGCTGGTCTCTCCTGGCACGGAACCACCATTTCGGGGCGGGGCAGGGGTGGTTAGGACTGCAGAATTCTCCACATGCTGCAAAGCAGAGCCTTCGTCCCATGAGTAGGAGCTACATGGAAGATGGAGCCCCCACTTAACCCAGGACATGGTCTCGGCAATGGGCGGATGAAGGCCGTAAGAAATGCTGAGGTCCTGATCGGGAAACCGCCCTCTGCCTGAGATCTGGAGCAGACGGGACCTGGTGTGCTTGGCCCCAGCAGTCAGGTGGAGTTTCAACTTAGCCAAGCCGAAAGGAAGACGTAAGAGTTTTTTGCTTCAAATACTAGATTCATCAAGTTTTGGCAGACTTCCTTGAATAGATGTTTCTTCATTTGCTGTTTGTCATTAGGATCACTTTCAGAGACTCCGTGGTTGGTTTTCATGTTTTAGTGCATGATTTTTACTAGACTCACTGGGGAGTACTAGGACAGTTGTCAGTCGGTCTTTATGCTGCTGTAGGTCCTGCTACGAGTATAGCTGGGTGTACGGCTGAGGGCCCGCCAGCAATGCTCAGCTAACATGACTCAGGCAAGCCTTGCAACAGTTCCGAGGGGATCCAGGGACAGTGCTTGTCATAGCAGCTGCTAAGATCGCAGAACCAAACTTGTAATAGAACTGAAGATAAGCCTCTGATTTAATTTCGTATTAGGTGTAAAGGCCTACAGAACGAACTAGGAGAACTGAAACTATCATAATTGACTCTGAATTTGTAATTTGACTATAGAGAGAGAAGAACTCTGGGAGCAAATGTGTGATTTCCATGCATTCCAGAACCACCACCACTATACAGGACCCTAAGAATCCAGAGCACGTGAAGACATTTACTTTTGACCTGGCATATTGGTCTCATGATGGATTTCAAAAGGATAAAGATGGTGTCCTTATTTTGATCCTAGTAGTAAATTTGCAGGCCAGGTAAATTGCTTTAAAACAGTGTCGATGCAGGGGTTTTGTTTTGTTTGATGATATATTTCTAGCGTAAGAGTACAATGTTTTCCATATAATAAATATTCGCATACAACTATTCTACAATACAACATATGCTTCAGGCCCAGCTATGGCAGTGCATGCTGCTGATACGCTGTTCTCCACAGGCTGAGACGGCAGAGGAAACACAAGCTCAATTTCTGGTCCAACCAAAAGCAGGGGCAGTGGTGTGCACCTGTCATCTCAGCGACTCAGAGAGGATGAGGCAAGAGGATCACAAGCTCAAGGCTGGTCTAGGCAACACAGTGAGCCCCTGCCTGAAGGAGCCAGGCATGGAGGCATGTGGCTGTGGGCCCAGCAATGCAGGGTGATCACGACAAAGTGAGATCTGCCTTTGAGGAGGAAGACAGTCAACTGATTTGAGCATCTACATGTAGAAGCTTCCCTATGAGAGTTCGACTTTAAATGCATTGCTTTTTTCATGATGAACATGAGTTCCAAAAATGCAGACATTGTGTAAATAATTTGTAGACACTCAAATTGTTGACTTGCCGATATAATGACGTATTTTCAGCAAGGACTGGCAGCAGGGTCAATTATATTTTGCCTCCCTGAACTAAGTAAAGTTAGCCAAAACTGGGACCAACAGATGGCATAATGGTTACATCGCTGTACTCGACCATGGTTTGAGTCCTGGAACCAGTGACTTAAAACTTGCATGGGGCACGTGTGTCCATGCCCAAAATCCTGAGAGAAGAATGGAGGAAAAGGGATTGCAGTGTGGTCCCCAAGGGGGATGATTTCTCACTTTCTATCTCTCTGTCTCTATGTCTCCAGCCAGAACATGTGCCCTATAGCAAAAATATCGCTCTAAAATTTTTTTTAAGAAAAAAGAAGAACAACTCACCAAGTTCATCTGTGAATTTAGTTTCCATCAAATTTGGAAAAATTTCATCATTTCTTCCCAGTATTTTCTTTTCTCCCTTTTTATGCCTGTCCCCAATTATTTGTATCCTTGGGATTGTCCCACAGTTCTCTGAGACCGTTCATCCTCCCCGAAGACACACTTTTTCTATTTGTTCCTCTTGTCTCTCAAACTCAGTCCAAACATTGTATCCTGGGCAAGCATGCACACGCTCCTGGTGTGAGTTTTAAGCTGCCAGGTCTCCCAAGCTAGAATTCTGTGCTTCTGAAATGATATTTTTTTCCTAATTTATTGAGTCGTCGGAAAAGTCATGATGTACTTTTCTACATTTTTCTATGCGAAATGTGTCATGACTTTCCCAATGATCTCTTTAACAGATAAGCGACTTTCAAAGCAAAAATAACAATGTCTTGTGGGGGTTATAAAGTTTATAGAAATAAAGCATGACAGTAACACACAAAAAAAAGAGAGAGAGAGGTAACAGAAGAATATTGTGAGCACACAGGCACAGTGTGGGCTAGCTGAAGGCAGTGGTGGATCACATCATTGAGACTCTGTTAGGATTTCTTTTTTCTGTTTTTCTCTTGCTCTCATTCATGGAAATATGAATGAATAAACTTAAATATAAAAGAGGCTGACACAGAGACATGTAAGCAGAGTACCAGGAGAGGACAGGCAGAGGTTGGAACGCTGCAGCTGCAGGCCTAGGAATACCAGAGCTTGCCAGCAACCACCAAAGCCAGGAGAAGAGCATGGAACAAGATTTCCCCTGAGACGCTGATGAAGGGAAGCCAGCTGGTGGCATGGTGATTAAGGCACCAGACTCCCAACAAGCCTGACCTCAGTTTGAGTACTGGACCTGGCAGCTTGCTTTCTTAATTTCTCTCTCTCTCTCTGGTATGCACACATACTGCATAGCAAATTAAAAATAATAATTATAATGATAAAGGGGTCAGCACATGGCATAGTGGCTATGTCCCTGGACTCACACATGGCCAACTATGGTTCGAGTCCCAGACCTGGTGGCTTGAAAATCACATCAGGTACACCCAAGATCCTGGTAGGAGAATGGAAAAGGGACTGCAGCATGGCCATCTCCCCGTGAGCTCTCTTTTTTTTTTTCCCTCTTCTCTGTCTCTCTCTCTGGCAAGCATACATGCCCTAAGACAAAAACCTTTAAAAGAAGAAGAATGATAAATAAAATTAAGTAAATTAAATAAATTTTTAAAAAACTGCTGAAGGAACAAATTCCTCTAACACCTGGATTTCAGGTTTCTAACCATCAGAATTTGAAAGAATGAATTTCCGTTGTATTAGGCCATCAGTGTGTGGTACTTTGTTTCAGAAGCAATAGAATAGTCACACATTGAAAACAAATGTTTATTAAGTAAAAACACTAAAAATTAGGGCCTGCAGTGGCATCGTGGTTAAGGCACTGGACACTCCCACATGGCCGACCATGTTTCGAATCCCATTCCTGGTGGCTTGCTTTCTCGCTTTCTCTCTGTGTGTCTCTCTCTGGTCAAATTAAAATAAATGAATAAATAAAATTAAATGATTCTTTAAGAAAAAAAAAACAGTAAAAAAGTAATTACTTGTTAACATACATAATATATGTGTGAGAAATACAGTTCTTGGCAAAGCCAATCTGAAGAGAATGACATTGTTTTACATATCTTACTATTATTTATTTATTTAATTCTATTTGCTGTTATTATTTTTTAATTTGACCAGAGAGAGAAGGAAAATCAGAAAGGAATTCACCTTGTCAGGGACTCAAACCGCGGTTGGCCATGTGGTAATCCAGTGCCTTTAACCACTACGCCACCTGCCGGCCCCTATTTTATATTTTTAAAAATCTCTATAATATCTGGCTTCATAAAAAACAGCTCATAGGGGCCAGCAGGTGGTGTAGTGGTTAAGTGCTGGACTCCCTCATGGCTGACAATGCAATTTGAATCCTGGACTTGCACTTTGAAAGTCATGCTGGGCACATGTGCATGCATGCCTAAAGTCCTGAGAGGGGAATGAAAGAGAAGGGATCACAGCATGGCCATCCCCCTGCGGGGTGATATATATATCTCTTTCTCTCTCTTTGTCTCTTTATCTCCAGTGAGCATATATGCCCTATACCAAAAACCTAAAAAAAAAAAATGTTTTTTTAAATCTTATCCCTACATATGCCTTACAACATCACTTCATGTAGCCTCTAGCAAACTCGACTCTACACTTATTCCACTCTATTCATGAGAGAAGAGTGAAAAAACCACTAATATTATAAACATGATTTTACTTCACAAACTCCCTGAAAGGATTTCATCAGTCCCCAAGTGCACTTTGAGAACTGCTGTTCTAGAATAGTCAATAAAAAATAAACAACGGGGTCCCAACAGATGGCATAATGGTTAAGTCGCTGGACTCCCACGTAACTGACTGTGGTTTGATTCCCAAACCTGGCGACTTAAAACTCATGCCAGGCCCGTGTGCATGTGTGCCCAAAATCCCGAGAGGACAATGGAGGAGAAGGGATTACAGCGTGGTCATCCCCCTGGGGGGTGATTTATTTGTCTGTTTAGTGAGAGCATATGCCCTATACCAAAATTCTATCTAAAAAAATAAATAATACAGAAGTGTAACCAACTAATGAGTCAGTTGTGGGGAAGTGAAATTATGAAATGTTCTCCATCCAAAACATGGCAGGAAAAGGGGGGAAAAGAAGATGATATGAGGTAAGTAAAATCCAAATAGCAAGATCAGAGATTTGATGCTAGCCATATTGATTATTATATTGAATATAAATATTCTAAACATTCCAATTAAAAGACAAAGGTTGTTAGATTATGTAGATAAAGCCAAATCTACCTATATTTGTCTACAAGAAATCTGGTTTAAATATAACAATAGATATATACTATCAAATACTAAGAAAAAACACTAGCAAGGCCACATTTACATTGTACTAAGTAGACTTCAGAACAAGGAATATTTCATAATGATAAAGGAATCAATTTACTATGAAAATATAATCAGTTGAGGGCCAGTAGGTGGTGTGGTGGTTAAGGCATTGGACTCCTACATGGTCTACCGCAGTTCAAGTCCCGGACCTGGTAGCTTGAAAATCATGCCAGGCATGTGTGTGTGCCCAAAATCCCAAGAGGAGAATGGAGAAGGGATTGTGGCATGACCATTCCCCGTGGGGGGTGATTTCTCACTTTTCATCTCTCTGTGTCTCTCTCTGTCTCTGTCTCTCTCTGGCAAGTACATGCACCCTATATATATCACCAGCCTAAATGGATATGCACCTAATAACTGAACGCCTAAGTATCTGAAGCAAAAACTGATGGAAATGGAAAGAGAAATAGATAAATATACAATTGTGTTTGGTGACTTCAACATTTCTATTTCGGTAATTGATAAAGCAAAGATCAGAATATTATAGAGGACCAGAGCAGCACTATCAGCCTAACTGACATTATAGAACACTCCCAGTACCCCCCCCAGCCACATCATTGCACAATCTCCTCAAGAGCACATGGAACTTTCATCACGACAGATCACAGTCTGGATCTTAAAACTACTCTCAGTAGGGACCAGCAGTTGGCATAATGGCTATGTCGCTGGACTCCCACGTAGTCGACCATGGTTAGAGTCCCACCAGGCGTGTGTGCATGCATGCCCAAGATCCCGAGAGGAGAATGGAGAAGGGATTGCGGCTTGGCCATCCCCCAGGGGGTGATTTCTCGCTTTCTGTCTGTCTGTCTGTCTCTGTCTGTCTGGCGAGCGCATGCACCCTATAGCAAAAACCTCTCCAAAAAAAAAAAGAAAGAAAAAACTACTCTCAATAAATATAAGATGAGCAAAATCATACAGAGTGTGTTTTGTGACCACCACAGAATTAAATTAGAAATAACAAAGATATTCAAGAATTTCACAAATATTTAGAAAATAACAGACTTCTAAATAATCCATTGGTGAAGGATGAAACAAGGGAAATTAGAAAATGTAAAACCACATGAAAGCGTGTGCGGTGTAAGGCCTGGCCCTGACGTCCCAGCCTGCTTCC